CTTTGAAAATGATCACAGAAAACTTCCATTTAATTTAACATTTGCTAATCCATAATATACATAATGCGGATTTTAAAAATTGCCCGTTGCAAATGCTTCAATGCAAATTCTGAGTACTTCTAATAAAAACGAAGATATTAAAACGAAAAGGTCAAATTCCTAGCAGTTTCGTAGAAGAATGTAAAATGTGATTGTGAGAATTTTAGTGCCATATAGAGGGTTTCAAAAGTAAGGACAAAATTTTGCCATGCCCAAATGTTTTTCATTTCTTAAAAGAAAAACAGCTTTTACAGTTAGTAAACTTTGCCAACGTTATTAAACAGATATTCACCATTATACCAGATTCCATATGAGAAAACTTTATGCATTATTCCATGCACTTTAATAGGAAAAATGTTCCATTTGTATTGTCAGTGGTAACATATCAAATAGCGAGTAGTATGCTCACTATGATGATTCTATTTTTAGCAGAGAAAGTGCTTCAAGATACTGTATATAGACATTACAGAACATCATGTATGTTTAGAATTTCGATAAGTACATTGTATAAACAATGGAAACATTTTGTTATTGCCGACAGTTAGAGGGTTACCTTGTATGCAAAATATGTTAGGCATACATTCCATGTGTCAGCCAATCAGGATAGCAGCAAAATTTCAACCAATCAGAGCATGAACAAATGATCAGATGATTGTGAGCAGCCAATCAGGTCGCCATCATTGAGAATTCTTGTCCCTGATTGGCTGATGAAGTTTATGTAGGTATTTCAAATACTAGTACACTACACCACAAAAGTGTATTGATAAAAGATTAGTGTTACAGTAATTCCTGCTAATTTTGAATTTTTCTCTGAAGAACCTTTTCTTTGAAAGGGAAAATTTGAATTGCTATCTTCAGTGCCAACATGAAGTTCAGTGTTAAATACAGATACATTCCATTTATAGAACAAAAAGATTAGGTAACAGACTTTAACACTTACTAGCCCAAGTGCAAATCAAACACTTGTTGTTCCCTGCATTTAACCAGTACTCGGAAAGAAAAGGGTTAATATCATTATGTATAGGAAATTATCAGAAAGTTGGATTTCTGACAACTCAAATCCAGTTTGGAGAATCCAAATTTGTCAAAACTGGTAATATTCATGACTTTGATGACATCACAGAATCTTGTGCACACATATAAGCCAAGGGGCACATATTTTAGTGATGTCATTGATGAATTTTGTGTTCCACTATATTTAAGGTATGTGCTATCCTTCAAACTTTGTGAATTATTGTGAAAAAGTTCCATTTTTGTGACTTCAAACAATAAAATTGTAAACGTACATGTATGTAGTATAATTATAGCAATGCTAGAATATGTGGCTTTTAAGTTGTTGTTTTTTTCTTCGTATCTGCATGTGTACACTGTTGTACTTTTTGTTTGTTTTTCTTCCTAATTTAACACATAACTTAACAACAAACACATAGCTTAACAATAAACAACATAGACTTAACTACAATGTCACAGGGTATATCCATAGCCATACTTATTCTTTAACAGTGAACACATCTGACTTTGTGTAACTGAACACCATGTGCAGTTTTTCTACTACATACTCTAACATATTGAGTAGGTAGGAACAAGAAAAAAACATTTAGTTTTCAAAATCTTCTGACAGGAATTAACATTTCAAACTTTTACTGAATCAGATACAAATGCATACATACACTCATATTGTATTCAACTATTTATACAGCTCGTATATCTGTAATTTATTCAGATATGTCTTGTGCTATTTCATGACTTGTATTAATATGTGCCAAGTATGTATGGTCGAAAGTAAATTCTGCATACTCATATATTTGTTCATTGTAACTATAACCTTACCCTTTGCTACCTTACACTGTCAATTGTACATAGGCACTGTCTTTGTGTAAATAAATGTTACGTTGTTTAGGATTTGTTTTAAAAGTTTTGCAGAAAAAAAAGAAATAGTTGTCTTACAAAATGTGATATGCAATTCTGGATCACTGAACATTGTGTGGTAAGGTTGTTATGTTAAATATCACATAAAATTGTGTGATTTCTATGAAGAAGCACCCTTGAGTATATACATGTATGTACGTGTGTGTGGTGTTTTTGTTGTATATGACGGATGTCTTTCTTGTGTACTGTTATTAAAGGCACTTAACTTGCCTCCTGTTATGTACATGTATGTATGTGTACAGTAAAGAAATAGAGAATTAAAGATTTAGAACAGAAAGAAATGAAACTGTTGTTGTTTTCTTATACTCTACTACATGTACTATATAAATATATACTCTGACAAGAAACGATCTTACTAAATGAGCAAACACTCCAGTATTATAAATAACTATGAAACTAAAAAGTTTTGTTTTCTCAGGTCTGTATAACTTGTCGCAATGTAAAAGATAAATGGGTTAAACAATTATCATTTATTGGAAAGGTGTCTTTTCCTCCAAAATTTAACGTTGTAAACTTTTCTCAGTGATGTATAACAAACAGTTGTGGCGAGCTAACTTTGTATGCTCCACCTCTACGGAGGATGAATGATGATGATGATGATGAAAGTTGAATGATGGGGAGACAAAAATGGAGAATTTCGAATTCGTAAGATTAAAAGCCATAATTAATACTCTCCAAGCAGAGGTTTGGGGTTACTTTTAGCGTGTTTTTAGGCTTTTTTAATCGGGGTTTCTCGTTTGCACTGATTTTTTTGGGTTTGGTGAAAAAAAATTAAGTGCAAATTAAAGAGAAATCCCCATAAAAAAGCCTAAAAACACGATAAAAATAACCCCAAACCTCTGCTTGGAGAGTAATGATTAAAATTATCGTACTTTTCAGACCTGCATGTATGATGATTGCCTATTGGCCTGTCGGTAATCTTATGTTAACTTGATTATCGAATTCAAATTTTGCTCGTGATGAGCAGGTGGCACCTGCAGCTGTGCGTGAAACACGCCGTTCATTTCCAACATGGCGAGCGTGCATGGAAGCCACGGAAGAACGAGCGGGTAAAATTTCCGCCCAGGAAGACACGCCACGTCCACTTTGGGTGGTAAGTTGTACTTTACATTGTCTTAGATACTCTCTGAACTATTCTAGATAAATCTCAGTGAAGGAAAATGAAGCAAAAGCACAGAATTTCGGCGAGTGTGCATGGAAGCCACGGGAAGAACGAGCGGGTAAAATTCCGCCCAGGAAGACCCGTCACGTCCACTTTGGGTGGTAAGTTGTACTTCACAGTATCTTAGATACTCTCTGGACTAATGTACATCACGTCAAATCTCATGGAAGGAAAATGAAGCAAAAAGACAGAATTTCGGAGATAAGTTGCGGCAACTGTTGCCCACGAGTTAACGCTGCACTAAGTTAAGACTGGGGGCGTTGTTGTGTGGTCTGAAATGATACTTAGCTTCGAACACATGTCAATGAACACAATTCAGTGTGGATTAAGTCAATGATTCTGACACAGGAATACATTTTGAAATTCGCGCAGGTTTTACGAAAAACTACTAATAACTGGATAAAACGTCTGGTTTATACGGACATTGAACATACCGAACTCTTCTTTCGTTTAATTTCCGTTAACGTTATAGAAAGTTTGACAACTTCTTTGATATCAATCGGTATGTGTGTATCCCTGTATTTCTAAGCGCGAATAACACACACACAGAAAAGCGCGGTAAACTACACGCTAATTTGAAGGTGCACTTTGTAAATGATCCGCTGCGAGGCGCTTTTTGAATGTGCATCCTTGTGACCCCTGACCTGAACAGCTTTGACGTGAGTTTGTTGTTGATCTCTGTGTTTTGATCAGATTCTATGAGTTTGATGTAAACAAACGTGTTCCGTGCCCAAGTGTAGACAGAAACGGCGCAATTTTGAAGAGGGTGACCTGGTCAAGGTGATAGATTTGGAAGGAAGAGAGTCAGACGGTGGTAAGTTCGATTGGGGAGGGGGGCGGTAACAGAGTT